AGCAAATTTAAATTTTAAAAATCAATTTTTTGACAACTGTCTTATCAAAATATGTCAAATTTTTTGTCAATAATATAAAAGAATCTAGATTTTAACATATAATTTTTTAAGAATTTCTGGTTATGTAAATTATTGATATATGGATTATTTTTTAATAATTTTCAAGTTAAAAAAATCCATGAAAAAAATAATATCTAAAATTTGATTCTCATCCAAATTTTGTTCTAGCAATTACAAAAATCTGGAAAAATTTAGAGAATCAAGAATTATAATAAACTATTTGTTCTAACATTTTTAAAGCAATTGGTTTAGATTTGAATTTTTAAAGAAGAGTTAGATACTTATGACCACTACTGTATTATCTTGTATAGGCTTTTCTAATTATTGCTTAAAGACATAATTTAATTTTATTAAATGTTTCTTGTTCTGGATCAAAATATAAATTCTTGTTTTGTTATAACTTTTTTTTTTGAATTTCTGATATCTATAAGAAAATTCAGTTTGAACATTAACAAGTAATCCATTACATTTGTTACAATTGCAGGAAATTTTGTTTTAAACTTTTTTTTCAAACTTTTATTAAGTAAAGCTGAAATTAAATGCTTTCTTGATATTTAAAATGATTAAAATAAAGAAAATTGTTTAAATTTCACATTGTCAAACCATGATAATCTACAAATCATATAATATATCAAAAATATAATTTTATAATACAAATAATTTTATATAAATATCACTTTATTTGATAAAATTTAAAAATCAAAAATATCTAAATAAGCAAAAAAACTTTAATATAAAAATTCTATAAAGAATAGCTTTTATTATCTTTGCAGTCTTCTCAATCTTTACAATCTTTACAACCTTTGTAACCTTTATAATCTTTGCAATCTTTACAATTTTTACAATCTTTATGATTATGGCAGTTATTGCAATCATTGCAACCTTTGAGATTATGGCAACCTTCACAAACACAGCAACCTTCACAATCACAGTAACTTTTACAATCACAGTAATCTTTATAATTATGGCAATCTTCAGAGTCTTTCCAGATTTTATCAAAAGTTTGGAAAGTAAGGCCTCATTTAATATCACCTGGTATAGAATTTTCATTAACTTTTAATTTGGTATGGCAATTGATTGAAAAAAAATTATCTATTCAGTTTTCAACTCCATTAGCATGGGAACTTGAATTTATGTTTAAAAAAGGTACAAATTAAATTAATGCTGAATTATTAAATAAATTTTATCTATACTAATCAATCAATTTATTTAGAAAAAAAAATTAAATATTTGCAAATAGAAGTAAAAGCTAAAAAAAACAAATACCAAATTAGAAAACAAGATTAATGATCTAGAAAATCAAATAAAATCTTTAGAATATATAAATGAAGAGTTTGTTGCCCAAAAAAAAAAATTCAAGAAAAAAATAAAATATTTAGAAAATCAGTCCCCATATCAAGATCCCATTGTTGTGATATCTCCAAAATCCAAATTATTTGTAAGATTTATATTACCTGAAACATCTATGGTATCAATAGAACTTCCAAATAAAAATGTCAATAATAATAATGCTGAAGATTTTGAATATACTGATGCCAAAGATTTTTAAAATATTGATGCTGAAATTATGAAAATGTTGAAGATTATAAAAATACTAAAGATTATAAAAATGTTAAAGATTATAAAAATATTAAAGATCGGTTAAGTCCACAAAAACAAAGATTTTGATCAGTTAGAGATATAAAGAATAAGGGCAAAGCAGTTTATGAGTTAGATTTAAGAAAAGCATAAAATAAAATAAAAGTTATTGTGAAGATGCTTCTTGAATATTATAAATTAAGGATAAATAAAGTTTTTTTCGAGTTTTAAAAATAAAAAAACATTAGCCAGGCTAATATCTGAATTATTAAAATTAATGGCTTTATATTATAATTCTTCACAAAGACAATTATATAACTGATTGGATGCCTTATATCATCATTAAAAAGAAAGGTATCTAAAATTATAAACAGAAAAATTAGAGACAGATGATAGGCATTTGTATAATAAATATCATGATCAGTTAAGAATTATTATATCATTTCCTAACTTCATCAGGAAATGACATAATAATTCTTAACTGAGTGGGATATTTATGATTAATATCTGAAGCTGTGTCAATACCAAATTTAGGCTAATTATTACTATTTTCATTACGTAATTATGAATAAATTATTTAAATAGAAAAAATTTTTTTTTAAACTTTTACTATTCTTTTATTACAAAATGTCGACAATTAGTTCAACTACTGAAGAACTTGATAATTATTCTCAATTTGATTCAGACGAAGATATAAACGATGCAATTAATTAATCTAAAGTGAAAAATACTGAAAGTTCAACAAATCAATGGATGAGAACATTGGAACATTTTTATGAACAAAAAAATTATAAAGAAGACTTAAAAAATTTGGATGATACTATGCTTCAATATTAGTTATGCAAATTTATAGTTGGTGTAAAAAAACAAGATAAAAGCGATTATACTCATGCCTCCTTAGTAGTTGGATTTTCAGCCATTGCACGAGGAATTCTGGATATTTTTTCATCAATTCGACATGTCAATATTCATGATAAAGTTAAATGGCAAGACTTATATAAGACACTGGATAGACAGGTTAAGAAATTACAAAATGCAGGTCTTTCAAGAAAAAAAAAATCTGATTATCTTACAATGGAAGAAATTAAAGCAATTCTTGATTCTCCAGCCACTTCAGTATTAACTGCTAAGGAATTACATATTATACTTGGTTATAGCTTTCATTTTTATCATCTTTTCGTGGTGGTGATGCTAAGTGATTAAAAGATAATTGGGTGAAAAACTGTAATGATGGTAGCATTAAAATAAAATTACCTGTAGACAAAAATCATGCTGGTGGTGTAAAAAATATTCACAATAATGGGTATTCAAATTTAATTCCTCCTGATGATCCAAATAACGATTATACACCAGTAGTTGATATTCTTTATTATCATTTTAAACATCCATTTAATTGTACAACAGAATATTTTTTTTAAGTATAGAAACAACAAAACATAAGTAATATTTATATTTATTCAATAATTTTTTTAAATAATTTATTTTAACAAATATTTATATTTACAGGTCAACTTGATGGATATTTTTTTAAAGATTCTAAGTTGGGAAAAGGAACATATGATACAATGTTAAAAAATTTATATATTGAAGCTGGAATTAATATTAGAGAACGTAATATTACCAATCATAGTATTTGCAACTCAGGATTACAAGAATTATGTCATCTTGGAGTTCCAATTTATGATCAAATGAAATTTTCTGATCATCGATCTCTTGGAGACATTAATATGTATCAAGAAAGTACTGACAATCAAAAGTATTCTAATGTTTCACTTTTTGTACCAAAATCAAATATTAATCAACAAGATAAAAATAAATTTAAAAAAACGCAAAGTAAGTATATCAAATAATTTTATTTTATTTTATTTATTAACTAATTTTAGTTCACAATATACAAATACAGGTAAATAAATATAATTTAAAATTCTTATTTATTATTTATTATTAATAAAAAAAATTTTTTTTATTTAGAATTTATGTCTGCCCACAATTATTTAAAGACAAATTCAATTGAAACGGCAAATTCTATTTTTACAACAAATGAATCAACTCAAGATAATACAACTTCTATTGAAATAACAAATTTCGTTATTACTAATAAGTCAGCATTATCATCTCAAAATAATACTTCGATTATTCCACAAATGGTCTTTGGAGATAATTGTCAAGTTCAAATTAAAATTTTCTATAATAAGGAATCTTAATATTAATATATGTATATTAGTGTTTCGTTTTTTTTTATAGAAATAATTTTATGTTAAAATAAAAATTATATATAATGCAATGTAAAAAAAATTAAATGAAAATTAATAATATTATTATTTCTGATATTGACACTTAATATGACAGGGTATTAGTATATAAACAATCAATTAAATGAAATAAGAACATTAGGCTTATATATATATATTACTTAACATGTATTAATTTTTAACAATAATAAAAAAAAGAGCATAAAGAATTAAAAGTACAATCACTTATTAATAAAAAGTCTAAAGAAATTGCAAAAATATCAAGATGAATTGCTTAATATTCTTAAAAAAATAAAGATCCATTCATCTAAAGAAACTAAAATTGATCCAGAAAGCTATAAAAGAAAAATAGTTGTATATAATTAATTGGTATTCTCATGAAGTATTTAAATGTCATTAAAGTCAAATATTTGTTTGTCAAATATTTATATATCAAATATTTATTTATTATATAGTTGACCAACTTGTTAAGAGAAGTTTTGGATAAATATTTAAAGTTATTTCAACATACAAAAATAACTTGTAAGAAAAATTATGAGACTATAACTTATTATAATATAATACCACCCAAAAATTTATTGTATTGGACTTATTATTTGGAAGAAAAAGCTAAAGAATTGATATAAAAACATAAAAAATAAAAGATTATCAAAGAATCCTTAATATATTTAAAGAAGTATCAAACTAAAGAAAGTGTAATAATAGATAAGGTCAAAGAAACAATTACTAAGGTAAAATCAGTAGAAGATACAAAAATTAGCAAGAAAAAAACAATTGAAAAAAGAAAAAAGAAAGGATACAAAGTGGATTTTAAAGGTTACCTAGAATAAGATCAATTAAGAGAAAAGAAAAAGAAGTAAAAGAAGAGAAAGAAGAAATAGAAGATAATGAATAATTTAATTTATATAAACAATTTTTTGTTATATTCAAATTATATTATTTTATTATTATATTTTAATAAACTTTTTATTAATTATAATTATAAATAATTGTTAAATTTTATTAATTATTTTTATTTTCTAAATAATGAAATTAATTGCTAATAGATATATATGAAAATTTATCAAATTTTTAGCTTAAAATATGTTAAATTATGACTAAGTTAACTATAAAATATTTGTATTTTATTTATTTATTCATTGCTGAATACTATAATATTATAGTTGAACTATTTATGAATGTTTAATGAATATTTATATTTAATTTCATGCCGAGTGGTACCAAACAACATAAATTCTGCTTAAATTTAATTATAAAAATTTAAAAATTCAACAATAATTCAACATGCTAAATGATCAAATTTTGATTAATATTGATAGCAATAATTCAATTATATTAAATAATTCTATATTAAATTCAAAAATTTTAACTAATACAATTACTAGTAATTATTTTCAAATTAATAATAAAAAATTATTATCAACAATTTGAAAGTATTTACCTTAATAGTTTTATTTAAATCTAATAAAGATAAGACATAATGCAATTATTATAAATAATAAATTTTTAAAAAAAGACATCTGGTATTTTATTTTATTTTATTTTATTTTATTTTTTGAGATGAACAGACAACAATGCAAATCTTTATTGATATTTTCATAATGGAATTACATCAAGTGTCTTTTACAATTGGAACAATTGCTTAGTTTATCAATTGTGTCTGATGACAGTTCTAATTGTAACTAACACTGCTCTATCTGGGTAACAGCTTACCATCCATCTTTTAAATCCAACTATGAGAATTGTATACCAAAAGTGGATCCAACACGTCAGGTGAAGTTTCTATAGGGGGGGAATTCCTATCACTAGTTTAAACCACCTAACCTATAACCTGGTCTTGAGGCCTTATGTCTATCCCGCAGAGGTTTGATTAGGATTTCCAGATACCCCGATACTTTTCGTTTGAACCCTCAGAAGGGATACTTGTTCCTTGTCACCACCTGTGGCTTCAGTAGATCTTTTCCACAGACCACTTCTTTTAAGCAAGCATCGAATTGGGATAGTTTCAAACTAGAAAATCCTGGAATAAGTCAAATTCAGCCTATTGGGTATGACATACATAGGGGGCCTGCACAACCTATATATAAAGAGACTTCTCAATGATTATCATGCACCAACCAAACGATCGTTATATCACAACACCTTAACGGAAAATTACAATCTCAACGCCTTACTGGATCAGCATGTAAATAGCTTCATATGAGAAATAGCATATGATTGGTTATAGTATCAGATACCATATTAATTCTATTCAACCACCTTCACCTGGGATTGAAGATATCTGGTATTTTATATTTATACTGATACTTAAAATCTTATATCAAATATAAAATAACTATTGGATAATTAACTTTTATAACAAAAAAAAAACTCTTTCCTGTTTATCCAGATTCGCCTAAAATCCGCAGTAAACAGCCTGGAGTCCGCCCATAGGCCCCCCAGCCATGGAAAAACGCAACAACAGCACCACCCGGAGCAAGGGTTCGCCCGCCTCCACCCACCAGCAGCACC